TGGAGACCAGAATCTGACATGCTCCTCCTGCCCATCCCGCCTCCCACCACTCGAAGCTATTATCCTTAAAGTTGCTAAGAAACATTAAGTAGATCATAGGGTTTTAAGGATGTGTTGTTGTTGTTTCTTTCTCTGGTTTTTGTCTGAAACAGGGTTTCACAATATAGCCTAAAGCGCTAGACTCACACAAATCTACCAGCCTCTGCTGTTAGACTGCTGCGATTAAAGGCATGGACCATCGTGCCTGGTCCTCTAAGGTGTTTCAGGGTTGTGAAGAAGTTTTATCCTAGAGATGACTTCTGGAGTTCCTCTGGTCAGGGTATGACTTTTATCTATTCTGGGAAGTCTGAGCAAACATCAGGAAATATGTCCTCCATAGAGGAGTATTTGAGTAAAATCTAATTGGCAATTGTTTCCTTGGCATGTGGCTGGTTGTCCTTCACAGTAGGTTAAAGAATGGTGGTGGTTTAATTTTATCTCCTGAGTTATTGCAAAGTCTAAGCAGACCTTTACAACTCTTTGAATTCTGAACTTTATAGTCCTTTCCACCCCCACTCCAAAGACATAAATGCCTAGAATAACTAGCATTGGTGTCTTTCCCCAGATGATGTGACTCATGACATTTCTTTAAAAAAAACTCACATGTATTTACTTAATTACTTTGTGGGGGTGGGCATGTTTGTGTCACTGTGGAGGACAATCTGTGGGAGTCAGTTCTCTCCTTCTACCTTGTAGGGCCCAGGAATTAAACCTAGGTCATCAGGCCTAGCCTTTCTGCCACCAAGTCATCTCACTGGTCTCTTGAAGTTTCTTTTCTGAGCTCTGGCTCTCCTGGAACTCATGCTATAGTCCAGGCTGGCCTGGAACTTGCAAAGATCTGCCTGTCTCTGCCTACCTAGTGCTGGGATTAAAGGCGTGTGCCACCACCGCCTGACTAGAAGTTTCTTTTTTTTTTTTTGGTGGGGGTGGGGTGGGGTTTCAAGACAGCGTTTCTCTGTGACTTTGGAGGCTGTCCTGGAACTCGCTTTCATAGACCAGGCTGGTCTCCAACTCACAGACATCCGCCTGTCTCTGCCTCCCAAGTGCTGGGACTAAAGGCTTGCACCACCACCGCCTGGCCTAGAAGTTCCTTAATAATCCAACTTTCAAAATTTTTTTCTTTGGGACAACAGAATCTATGTGTTCACTGAGTGGCTCATTTCTTCCTGGTTTTGTAAAAGATGGACTTACACTGGGAAAGAGGTTTCAGAGCCAGGTCTCCAGCCTCCACATTGCACAGCAGTAAGCTGTTAGCGCATCCTGGCTATCACAATCTGGGTGTGTCTGTCAGCTAAAGACTCTCATTGTTGCTGAGAAGTGATGGCACACACCTTTAAACCCGGCACTAGGGAACAGAGGCAGGTGCAGCTCTGTGAGTTTGGGGCCAGCCTGGTCTACAGAGCCAGTTCCAGGATAGCCAGGGATGCACAGAGAAACCCTGTCTTGACAAACAAACATATAAACAACAACAAAGAAAACCGGGGGCTGGAGAGATGGCCCAGCTGTTAAGAGCACTGGCTGCTATTCCAGAGGATCTTGATTCAATTCCCAGAATCCACATGGCACCTCACAACTGTCTGTAACTCCAGTTCCAGGGGATCTGACATCCTCACACAAACATACAAGCAAGCAAAACAACAATAAAAAAAATAAGAGAAAAACAAAAAGAAGGTTCTCAATGTTGTGTCTTTTCTTACTATTACATATAAAACAAAAATTTTTGTTTTGCTTATTTGTTTGACACAGGTCTCTCTGCATAGCCCTGGCTATCTTGGAACTCACTCTGTGTAGACCAGGATGGCCTCACAGAGATCTGCCTGCCTCTGTCTCCGGAGTGCCTGGACTAAAAGTGTGCACCACCATAAACAGCAAATAAAGCTTTTTTTTTCCTTTTTGGTTTTTTTAGATAGGGTTTCTCTGTGTAACAGTCCCGGCTGTCCTGGAACTCATTTTGTAGACCAGACTGGCCTTGAACTCACTGGGATCTGACTGCCTCTACCTCCTGAGTATGGGTATTAAAGGCATGCACCACCACCACCTGGCAGTTTTTTTTAATAGGGTGTTTTCAGAACTAATGTGTAAACAATAGCTTTTTGGGTCAGGGGGTAGTCCCATCCAAACTGGTTACTGTTGTAATTTTTACAAGTGGAGCTCAAGAGAAAGATGCCATTCAACAGAGCTTGGGTGGAGGTTTTTTTTTTTTTTTAATTGGGGGAAAGTGAATGAGGAAGGGGAGTTGGGGAGAGGAGATACTGGCCTTTGGGGACAGGAGTGGCAGAAGAGGGGAGGAAGGGAGAGGGAGAAAGAGAGGGGGAGAGGGGGGAGAGGGCGGAGAGGGAGGAGAGAGGAAGAGATGGGAGGTGGGCAGAGCCCTTTTAAAAGGGACATAGTGAATATGCACAAGTGGTACTCTTACTGGCTACAGCTGAGGACATATCCTGTCAGAACCCAAGGGCAAGCCAGTACAGATGCCTGAATATTAACAGTGACTACACAAATTTGTTTCAATAAAACAGTTCTAGGGCATGAATAAAGGCAGAAAACAAGAATCCTTTATTTAAAGAAAAAAAGTTATCGGGGGCTAGAGAAATGGTTCAGAGGTTAAGAGCACTGGCTGCTCTTCCAAAGGTTCTGAGTTCAATTCCCAGCACCCACAAGGTGGCTCACAACTGTCTGTAATGAGATCTGGTGTCCTCTTCTGGAATTCATGGATACATGCAGGCAGAACACTGTATACATATTAAATAAAATGTTTGTTTGTTTTTTGAGACAGAGTTTCTCTATGTAGCTTTGGAGCCTGTCCTGGAACAAGTTCTAGTAGACCTGGTTTCTGGCTACAGAGATCTGCCTTCCTCTACCTCCCAAGTGCTGGTATTAAAGGTGTGTGCCACCCTTGACCTGTTGGGAGCCATCACAGAGAAACCCTGTCTCCAAAAAAAAAAAAAAAAAAAAAAAAGAATAGCCCATCCTGTTAAAAGAATAGCTACCTTCAGTTCCATCCAACCCTCTTCCCCCTCACCAGCTTCCTAATGAATAGAACTTGGGCTCACAGGAATAGCTGATGGCAAAAAAGGAAACATCCACAATTAGATCACTTAACCCCTCCTTCTGCGATCCTTTCACCTAGCCAATACCTGCTTCTGTTCACCTTCAGTGGCCGGGTTACTAGGCAACGCCCTCTCTCCTTTGATTACCCCACCCTACCTAGTTCCCCACCCTAACCACTCTGTAACACGCCTAAGGAAAATAAAGCCTTGCAGCTTGATCAGTCATGTTGTCTTGCTGTCCATTTCTCGTGTCTCTTGTCCCGTTATTCCAGGTTCCCGTGGGCTAGACCTTCGTTGTGCCCTGCTGGCCAGGGCACTGACCAGCTAGCTCCATTCCTTCTCTCTCTCTCTTTCCCTCTCTCTTTCTGTCTCTCTCTGTCTCTCTCGTGCTACCCTTGCTTTATCAACTGTTTTAGTGTGCCTTGTGTTGCTTATATCAAAATACTTGAGATTTGGTATGGTGTGTGTGTGTTGAGGGCGGGGTTTTGTGTACAGCCTTGGAGGCAGGGATGTTCTGACAAAACTTCATGACAGCTGAAATTCATGGGCGAATGACAAATAAGTGAATGGGAAAGAAGCCAGAGCACCAGGGCTAACTTTCTTTCTTTTATGTCCACCAGTTCACAGACATTTAAGCAGACCTACCAGACCCAAGTCACTCCCATGAGATCGAACCCAGTTCCGTGAGAGGCAATGCAGTTTCTAGAGAGAGGCATTAATCCACTCCTCGGGGTTGGTGTCACCATTACTCAGTCACTTCCCAAAGACCCTACCTTCGTCCCCTGCTGAGAAATGAAGGCTGTGAGTTGTGTCTTAGAGCAACCATACCCAAAGCATAGCAATCAGCAGAGACAGGGCAGTAGAGCTCTCTGTTTAAAATGCTTCTTGGAACGCTATCTTCCACGGCCAACTCCCCGCAAGCACTCTGAAGTACATCTCCAGCCATTTCAATGCCTACCCTCAAACCAAACCCTATTTTGTCTATCACTGAATTCTCCACCATCTAAGACGATAAGGGTGGCGGAGAGCCCAGGTCCTCGAAGCCATCTCTTCCCTTTCTGACAAACCATCTCAAGCCACAAGAGGCATAGGGAAAAGAGTGTCCTGGGTTTGTTCTAAGAACTGGTACATCGAATCCTCTTTTCTGAAAGTCACTCTCCTCTAATGAGGGGCAGACTGGAGAGATATTGTGAGGCACATGGAACACCGGCAAAGCGCATGTGCTTTCAAGTTTTCTTTTTCCTTTTAATTTGTTTTTGAGACAGGGTTTCTCTGTGTAGCCCTGCCTGTGCCTCCCCGAGAGCCAGGACTAAAGTCGAGCGCCACCACCCCCCTGTAACTTTCAGGTGTTTTGACTGCCCAGTTCTCGCTGTATCTTCACAAAACATATGAATTACCTGTGGCTCAGAAGGCTGCTAGATAACAGTAACTAACACTCAGGAAATAAATGTTACCATCATTAATGACATCATTCCAAACCCAATATTCAAAGTGTTCCTTCAGTAGGTTCCTTCGTGAATGACTTTAGGCCATCAAACGTATTGAGTGGCTTGAACCCTTGAATTTTGGCACAATAACCGTCAAGGGGTAAAGTCGGAGACTGAGTGACAGCCATGACTGTGCCTACAGAGTTCACAGGCCCTCTCTTCTTTCTGGGGCGGCGAGATCAGAGCCCGGGAATTGCCCGGACCGCCCACAGCTGCCACCATTGGCGGCCTCCTTGCTGGCGTGACTGAAGCCCCGCCTCCTTCCCGCTGGGACCACTCTGAGGCGATCTCCGGAAGCGGAGGGGGGCCTAGAAAAAGGGGTTGCGAGGCATCCTGGGCTTTGTAGTCCGTCTGCTCATCGGCTGTAGGAGAGGCGAGCCTCACGCTGCGGAGAACTACAACTCCTAGCAGCCTCGTGGAGAAGGAGGCGAGGGGGCTTGCGTCACGTGGGCGCTGGGCCTGGGCGGGCTACTTCTCAGTGCGGCGGCGGCGGCGGTGGCGGCGGTGGCGGCTCGGGGGACCGGGGCCTTTTGTTTGGAGCGGCTGCGGGGGGCCACGGAGCGGCGAGGCCCGCGGCCTTCCCCGGCTCGCTGGGTCCCGGCCGCCCCTTGCGGGGTTGCGGGGCCGCCCCGTGGGCCGCCCGTCGCCTCAGGCGCCGCCGCCCCGCCCTAGGCCCGCCCCGCCCGGACTGAGGGGGAGGAACCGGCCGGGCCTCGCCGCGCGTCCCTGCCAGCTCCGGAGTATTCGCAGGTCTCCGCTGAGCTCTGCACCCGAGGCTACCCCTCGCGCCTTAGGCTGACGCCATGAAGATCAAGGATGCCAAAAAACCCTGTAAGATGGGAGCCGGGACCCGCGGGTTGGGAAAACGGCCCTAGGAGCCTCGGGCGGAGCGGCCTGCTTTAAGATCGGGTTTGCTCGCGGACGCCCGCCAGGGAGGGAAGGGGGTGATAGCTGCAGCCCCAGCTTGCAGGCAGCGGACTTCCCTACCCCCATGCATGCCGGGCGAGCTTCTGCTGCCGCCCCCCAAGTCCTTTGCTCCCACTTGCTCCTGGAGATCTAGGAGGTACTCGGGAGATTTTTGACTCGGGTTTTACCAAACGAGATTACCGCTACCGGTCCTCTCTTGGCTGTCAGCTAGGGGTTGTTACCTCTTCATTTTTACCGATTTCTGGATTTCCTGCTTATGTCCTTGAAGTCCAGGTGGGTTCCTGGGAGTTTGCACTGTTGCAATTGGACCTTTTCAACGCATGTGCGGTTATCCGCCAGTAGGTAAATTGCCTTGGCAATTTAGAATATCAGCTGGTTTGTATTTGTTTTAGAAAGCAGATAAACAAAATGTTTTTTTAAAAACTTGTACTACAGCTACTCAATTCGAACCACATTAATAACGTGGTAAATACCTTGAGAGCGTTTTTCTGTAATTGTGCATGCATATACTTCAAAGATTCTAACCTTGCTGTCAGAGAACAAACACATCATTCGTAAGCTGCCCTTTAAAAGCCTTTTATTTCTGCAGTTGGTTTATTTATTGGTTCTGTCTTTGTGAATGTTGCACTTACATCCTCTACAAGCTAGGGATGTGGGGATGCGTGCTTCTGCCTATTTGAGGTTTTACACTTCCTAGTGCTTCATGCTATCTTCCCAACTGCTCCAGGATAGCAGCTATAAGGGGGGGGGTATGAACACCTCTTCCCTGCCTGCTCCCATTAAGGGTTCCTATAAGCGGCAGTCTAGAAACTGTAAATGTGGCTTTTTGTTGTTTAAAGATGAGGAAATTGAACTTCGCCGCTGTAACTTTTAGTACCCTCGTGTACTCTCTCAAAGTGCAGTGTTGTTTCTAGTCCACCTACAGGGAGGGCATAGTCTAAATACTTGGGAAACACAAGTTTTGTTTTTGTTTTTTTACCTTTTTAAAAAATTTTAGAGCCGGGCGGTGGTGGCGCACGCCTTTAATCCCAGCACTCGGGAGGCAGAGGCAGGCGGATCTCTGTGAGTTCGAAGCCGGGCTGGACCAATAGCCTCCGAAACAATACAGAGAAACCCTGTCTCGTAAAAACCAAAAAAAAAAAAAAAAATTTAGATTATCTGCCCATTTACAATGAAATGTATTAACAGAGATGTGTGTGTGTGTGTATGCTAGTTTTCAAGGAGTTTATGAACTAAGGTATGGAAGTGTACACCTTTAATCCCAACACATTCATGAAGTGATTGATCTCTCTCTGTGTTCCAGGCCAGCCAGAGTTATGTTGTGAGACCCTGTCTCAAAAAATCAAAACCAAACAAAAAGGAAGCCCATGATACAGTGACTTTAAGTTTACATTTTCTCGCTTAAATGAATGCACCCTAGGCTAGCATGGTAAAGCTCATTTGTCATCACAGCTCTTGTACAGCATGAGACCCTGCTCAAAATAACACATACACAAAACTAAGGCTTCTTACTTAGTGCAGTGATGGGGAATCACTTGACATCTGCCTTCAGTGAACTCATTTTCTCTGCTTTTCCATTGGTTGCCATGCAGTGCTGGCCCACGCCTTTATTAATCCCAGCACTCAGGAGGCAGAGGCAGGCAGATCTCTGTGAGTTTGAGGTCAGCCTGGTCTACAGAACTAGTTCCAGGACAGCCAGGGTTACACAAAAAGAAACCCTGTCTTGGGGGGTGGGGGAGGATCACTTTTGTCATCACAGTTGAATTATGTGTTAATTCATCTCCAGGAGAGAAGAAAAGTAAACGAATCAGTTACCTTCTGGGCCTTAGCCCCCCTCAATGTAATTTTAAAATTCTTTGAGAATTTTATATGTGTATGCGCTATAAATTGCTCATTCAGTGCTTACCCCCACCTTACTTTTCCTATATAATTGTTCTTTAATTCTATTTTCTGAGACAGGGTTTCTCCTGGAACTTGATGAGATCTGCCTGCCTTTGCCTCCCAAAGTGCTTGGTTTAAAAGTGTGTGCCAGCACCACAGGCCCGAATGATTTCTTAAACTTTAGGTTTTCAGCTTATGATTTGCTTGTCTGTGTGCATTGTAACTAGATTAATAAGGTGATGGTAAAAGATGATAAATATATTTAATTTGATGCAGGTTTTGAGTCAGTGCCAACCAAGGAATTAGGTGCTTGAAATTTTTGTTGAGCAGCATTTATGTATCATGTGTTTCTATATAATTTATTTGTAAATTTATTAATATTAAGAATTGTCACTTCCAGTAGATAGTAAAGTACATTAGGAGGTAACAGTTACCTAATGTATTGTAGCTAATTAACTCCCATTAGAAATGAGGAATTTACTAAAGAAAGCAAAAATACTCAAACCTTTCTCAGGGAATCTTAATACTGAAGGTATTGAGATGGCTATATTTAGTCTGTTTAAGAAAACCCAATGAGAAGTGTGAAATTCCATATTTATTTTTTATTTTATGGGCATTGCTATTTTGCCTACCATAAGAGTGCTGAATCCCCTGGAACTAGAGTTACAGACAGTTGTGAGCTGCTATGTGGTTGCTGAGGATTGAACCTAGGTCCTCTGCAAGAGCAGTTAGTTAGTGCTCTTAACCACCTAGCCATTTCTCCAGCCCCAAGTGAAATTCTTTTATTCATGAACTGCATACACACCTGGGATTTACCAATGTGTATGTTACCCATTTTAATATACTAGAAAATTCAAAAGTTGGTAATTAGACCATTTGTTAAATGATACAAGAGTAGCTCATAAGCTGGGCGTTGGTGGCGCATGCCTTTAATCCCAGCACTCAGGAGGCAGAGGCAGGCGGATCTCTGTGGTTTGAGGTCAGCCTGGTCTACAGAGCGAGTTCCAGGACAGCCTCCAAAACAATACAGAGAAACCCTGTCTTGAAAGAAAGAAAGAAAGAAAGAAAGAAAGAAAGAAAGAAAGAAAGAAAGAAAGAAAGAAAGAAAGAAAGAGTGAGTCATAGTTGAAAGTTAGTCCTCTGTGTTCTTGTTGCCTCCTTCATGCCTTTTAAATGTGGTTTAATTATGTGTATGTGTGTGGGTTTGTGTATTCGAGTGCTGCTATCTGTGGGACCAGAGGTGTCAGATCAGCTTTTGGGCTGAGGTTAATTAAGGCAGTTCTCAGCCATCTGAAGTGGGTGCTGGGAATCAAACTCCGGTCCTTTGAAAAAGCAATGCCTGCTTTTAACAGCTGAGTCATTTCTGCAGCCTCTGAATAGTAGTTATTTCTTGATTTAAGGAAATGAATTCCAGAACACTGCTGAGTTGAAAAGATCTCTGTAAAAGTTGGGTATTAGGCTGACAAGATAGTTCAGTCCTTGGGACTGACATGGTGGAGGGAGAACTTACTCTCAGAAGTGGTGACAGAAGTCAGAAGCGGGTATTAGATCCCCTGGAGCAGGAGTTATTGATTATTATAAGCTACTGGACTTGGGTGCTAGGTGTCAAACTCCCAAGAGCTGTGCATGCCTTTTAACCACTGAGCTCTCAAAAGCCCTGTTTTTTATTATTTTAATGGTAAGTATAACTTCAGAGTTCAAATAAACAGGGTTGATGATAAGTTATTCTGCTACTCATATTGCAGAGTAGCCAAAATATGCATTTTAGAATTGGCTATTCGTAACTTAGAATTAAAAAGCAAAAAAAAAAAAAAAACCTTAGTACTCAGTCACAGTTTTAGAAAAGTTAGCGATTTCTAATTCTCTAGAATACATGAAAGCTTCTACTGAAATGGTTTTAAGAATAAGAAGTGTTAAATGCTAATTTGAAGTTTGCTTTCAGGAATGTCAGTATTCTGATTTGTAAATCTGTGAACAGAGGATTCTGGCTGGAAAATGAGTAACCTTTGAACTTCCAGTTGTACTCTAACATTTGTATGTGTATTTTGACACCTATGTTTGACATGAGTCTGAAAGTCTGCAAAGGGCCAATAATGTAGCTCAGAGGTAGAGTACATAATATGTACAAGGCCCTGGGTTTGCTTGAATTACCAGAACAAAAGGTGGGTGAGAGAGAATATGCAAATACTGGCTTTTAGTAGATTTTGAATTTTGGTAAAATGATTTTTGTCCTTTCAACCCTTGAAATCTAGAGTCAAGCGTCCTAGTGGGAGAACTTCTTTTGGTTAGGTTAATACCAGAAAATTTTTTTTTTTTTGAGGCAGGGTTTCTCTGTGACTTTGGAGGCTGTCTTGGAACTATCTCTTGTAGATCTGTCTGCTTCAAACTCACAGAGATCCACCTGCTTCTGCCTCCCTAGTGCTGGGATTAAAGGCATGCACCACCACCACCGTCACCCCCTCCACCCCTGGCAGAAAATTTCTTTTTATCGGTCGTCATTAAAACATGTCATAATAACAAACATGGTTTTTGAAAGATTTAAAGCAATTCTGAGGGAAATTCAGAATTCTTTGATCAGTGTCATCTACTCTTTTTGTTTTGTTCTGTTTTTCCAGACAGGGTTTCTCAGTATTGTTTTGGAGGCTGTCCCGGAACTAGCTCTGTAGACCAGGCTGGTCTCAAACTCACAGAGATCCGCCTGCCTCTGCCTCCCGAATGCTGGGATTAAAGGCGTGAGCCACCAACTCCCGGCCTCTTTTTTTTTTTTTTTTTTTTTTGGTTTTACGAGACAGGGTTTCTCTGTATTGTTTTGGAGGCTGTCGGTCCAGCCTGGCCTCAGAGATCCGCCTGCCTCTGCCTCCCGAGTGCTGGCCCCATTTTTAAACTTAGTATAACTCGTGGCTCACACCTATAATTCCAGCACTTTCAAATCAGGATTGCTGCAATTTAAAAGCCAACTGGGGCTATAATAGTTCCAGGCCAATCTGAGCCATAGCATGAGATCCAACATCCAAAATAGGCCAAAAAACAACTTTAAATAAAAACCATGAAATGCAAAAGAATTGTTTGAACACTTGATAAATGTCTCCTGTTGGTATATTGCTTTGGAAGCATTAGTGGGGATGGGGCAGGAAAATGACTCATAATTTTACAATGACCCTACCACCACCAAGGCTATGTAGACCATGAATGAGTCTCTCAAAGAAGAAATCGTAAATTTTATGAACTGAAAGCAGCTCTTGGTGACAACCACATTCTTTTTACCTAGAGATGCTACTGTATGACTTATAAAGGCCTGCCATTGTCTCAAGTGTCATTCACTGATGTGACCTTTTTGTTACCCATTTTTCCAATACTAAGAAGTTCAGTTTCCTGATTGTTCTTTTTCTTCCCGCTCCTCATTTTTGAGACAGTGTATCTATTATGTAGCCCCAGATACCTAGAACTCCTTGTATAGTCCAGGCTGACCATTGAAGTGCTAGGATTTAAGGTGTACACCACCATGCCTGGCCAATAACTATTTCTATAGAAGAAAGTAGTGAGAATTATGCAGAGACAGAGACTGACTGACTGGCTCTCTGATTCTGGTGTCAAGTAACCTAGGCTGGCTTTGAACTACTTGTGTGTCATCAAGAATAATGAACCTCTGATCCTTTTGCCTCTCTCTGCCTACAGAGTGCTGGGATTGCAGGTGTCAACACTAGCCAGTGCTTTATGCAGCACTCTGCCAATGGCACTGCATACAGGAGCCCATGTGTACCATATACATAAATAAATGGTGCCCACCCAGAAGCAGGTGTCAGATTCCCTGGAGCTGGGCTTATTGGCACTTGTGAGTCACCTGGAATGGGTGCTGAGAACTGTACTAGAAGGGTAGCAAACACTCCTGATAGCTGAGTCATCTCAGCCCAGCACCTAGGAGAGAAGTCCAGAATCTGTAATTTTCAAATAATGCCTAGATGGTTTTGATTTTCAACTCACTTGCCAGGCATCTTTAGTTTTTAAGTGCCTCTTTTTGTTTTGTTTTGAGATAGTTTCTTTGTGTAGGATGTCCTAGAACCTGTTCTGTAGCCTAGAACCAGGGTAGCCTTGAACTGAGATCCACCTGCTTCTGCCTCCAACCACCCTGCTTTTAAGTGCCTCTTAAACTTCATCTGTCTGTCCTGTATATCCCTACTTTAGAAAGCTTTCTGACGTTCAGCCAAACGGTATACTTTCCTTATGGAGAAAATAAATGTTGGCAAAATTATCTATAGATCCAAGACTAAATTTCTTTCCCTAGCATGCAAGGTCTTTTGTGCTTGACTCTATTTTCTCAGCTTAAGTCTTTAACTTCTTTAACTATATTAGGGCTCTGCCTTTGGATAGGCTAATTTTTGTATTTTAGCATTCTCCATATTCAAAGAAACATTAGATTTTTCTCCCCCCAGAGCCACATAGCCCAGTTAGCTGATGTTCTAAACCTGATTATTACTCCTAGCCCAAATGCACTTGTCCTTATATAGGCAATTAAGGGTTGCTAATCCTGTGTTCCAAAGAAACTTAACATGCTGAATGAGCAAAGGAAGGTTTCATTTCATTTTTAAATTTATTTATATTTTCTTATCTGTGCATATACGAATCTGTATCTGTGTGTTTGTGAAAGCCAGAGTGTTGAATCCCATGCAACTAGTATTACAGGTGATCATAAGTTGCACGATATAGGTGGGACTCAGATCCTCTGGAAAGGTGACAAGTGCTTTTATCACCTAGCCATCTCTCTAGTCCCCCAAAATTTCAATTTAACGAGGTAATTTTACCATTGGTTACCTGACATGATTGTAGGACAGGGCTACACAGAAACCCTGTCTTTAAAAAAAAAAAAAGAGGAAAAGCTGTACAAATATAACTGAAGGAAAGGGTTAGTTGCATATAGAAGGTAAGTCTTGGGCACTAAGCATTAACTAAGTGCATGACTCAGAGAAAGGCTAATTAACCATTCATTCTGGTTTGTTTTCCCACTATCAATTTTGTTTATTTTTTTTAATTCACAGCTTTCCCGTGGTTTGGCATGGACATTGGGGGAACTCTGGTAAAGCTCTCATATTTTGAACCTATCGATATCACAGCAGAGGAGGAACAAGAGGAAGTTGAAAGCTTAAAAAGCATTCGGAAATATTTGACTTCTAACGTAGCATATGGATCTACTGGCATTCGGGATGTACACCTTGAACTGAAGGACTTAACACTTTTTGGACGAAGAGGGAACTTGCACTTTATCAGATTTCCAACCCAGGATCTGCCTACATTTATTCAAATGGGAAGAGATAAAAACTTCTCAACCTTACAAACGGTGCTGAGTGCTACAGGAGGTGGTGCTTACAAGTTTGAGAAAGATTTTCGCACAGTAGGTGTCTATTACTTGAAAACCAAAAATTAATGAGAATATTTGGTTCTAAATACAAAGCTGGATTTCTAAGACGGTGGTTTCCACCCTTTCCTAATGCTGCAAGCCTTTAATATAGTTCATGTTGTGGTGAACCCTCCCCCAACCATAAAATTATTTCATTGCTACTTCATAACTAATTTTACTTCTATTAAGAATCATAATGTAAATGTCTGATAAGTAGGATATCTGATGCAACCCCTATAAAAGGATCCGCCCATCCCTGTCTCACAGGATTGGGACCCACAGATTGAGAACTGTTGATCTAGTGTGTTCCTTAAGTTCATTTTCTCTGAGGTATCTGTGCATCACTAGATTTTGACTTGGAACATTTTGTGACAACTTTATGGGCTATCCCCATTGCCCAGGTTTCAGTATGGCCATGGAATGTGGTAGAGCCTATCAGCATGGAGTTGTGGAACAGAGCTGTGTGCTAAGGAGACCCCAGAGAATCTGGCAGTCTTACTTTTACTATCTAACATTTGTTTTCCTCTGTTATTGTTGTTGAGGTTTTTGTTGGTGGGCAGGGGTTGGTTTTGTTTTGAGGTTTTGGAGACAGGGTTTCTTTGTGTAGACCTGTCTGGCCTCGGCCCTGCCCGGCATTTTTGTTTTATTTTTTGTATTCATAATAACTATCTCTATTAGCCATTCCTTAAAATAAGTTATGTTAGTGTGCACCTCTTGCCCTTGAAGTTATAGCGTATATGGCAAGAGAACTATTGAAGAGATACGTGTTTCTGTATTTGAAGTTTTATCACATGTAATTCAGTATTTTGAAATGTCATCCTAGCAAATTAATCCATACATTAGAACTATGTGAGGAATACTTCATGTTTGTATGAATCGATAGGTAAAAATTTGTCTCAGAATAGTCAAAACTAACTCAGGTGAGGTGATCTTAAAATTTGTGTAACTGTCCTGTGCATAGCAAATGCCTACCATCCCATGACCCTGAAGACCCTGTCCACTAAATTTGTCTTTTTTATTTTTTTAAATTTTGTGATGGTTTGTTTTTATTTTACGTGCATGTAAGTCCATACACCATGTGCACATCTAGTGACCAAGATGGCCAGCAGAAGGTATCAGAATCCCTGGAACTGGACTTGTCATGTAGGTGCTAGAATTGAACGCTGGTTGTCTAGAAGATCAGTCAGTGCTCTTAACCCATCTCTGTCCTCTTAAATGTCACTTTGACCCCTGTCTCCTCTCCACTGAAATCTAAGATACCCCAGAGGCAATGCTGCCTTCACTAAGAACTGGTGGATTAAGTGAAATCCTTGATAGATTTTTGACCCTCAACAAATAAAATAAAACATGTAGTACCTTACTTAATACTGAATTTTTATAAAATCTATGAAAACTGTAAGCCAAGTGTATTTGTTTGACCTTTCTAAAATTCTGATTTTTGCTTTTGTCTTCCAGATTGGAAACCTCCACCTGCACAAACTGGATGAACTTGATTGCCTTGTAAAGGGCTTGCTGTATATAGATTCTGTCAGTTTCAATGGGCAAGCAGAATGCTATTATTTTGCTAATGCCTCAGAACCTGAGCGATGCCAAAAGATGCCTTTTAACCTGGATGATCCTTATCCACTGCTGGTAGTGAATATTGGCTCAGGAGTCAGTATTTTAGCAGTCCATTCCAAAGACAACTATAAAAGAGTGACTGGAACAAGGTACTAATCTTTTTGGTTTGATTACATACACAAAAGTTCTAGGGTATATTTTGTTTTATTTATCAATTTTTGGTAACATGGGCCCTCGTACTTGCTACGCAAGTATGTTACACTAAATTGGGCCCCCAGCTGTATATTGCTAGTTCCCTAGTTTTGCCAGAAAAAAATATGTATTTGCAACACCAAAATATGTAGGGGGCTGGAGAGATAGTTCAGCAGTTAGGAGCCCTTGCTATTCTTGCAGGAGACCCAGGTTCAGTTCCAACATCCACATAGCAGCTCACAGCCATCCTTAATTCCAGTGCCAGAGGTTGTAGCCATTGCTGGCACTAGCCACACACATGGTGCAGAACATACATGCAAAGAAAACACACGCACATAAAAGTAACATCATTAAAAAGAATATAGATGTGTAAATTTAAATGTTACAGATCTCTTTTTGTAAGGTGTTTATGAAATGACTAATGGTCAACATCAGTTGGCATCAGAATTTCCATAATGTTGAGTTAATTTTTGTATAGAATAATTCTACTTTTTTTCCTGAGTTTAACAGTAGAGTTGCTAGCAGTGACGGTTAATATTCTGTTGACTATAGTATCTCTTCATATTTTGTTTAATTTTTGCAACATTTCTTTTTTTTTTCTAGTTTTTGTATTTGAGCATAAAGCTTTCCATGTACTGTATAAATTTGCATTTAAAATATGATATCAGATACCGGAGTTGTTAATTATTTTTTTCATTTATCTTTATCTGTGTGTGAATTTATGTGCATCAAATACATGCTGGTATCCATCCATAGAGGCCAAAGAATATCAGATCCTGGATAGTTGTGAGCGGCCTGATCGGGGGATGCTAGGAAATGAATCCAGGTCCTCTGCAAGAGCAGTTAACCTTTGAGCCGCCTCTCTAGCCCTGCAGTTAATTTTTAGGATGAATTTAATGTGAACTCTTTATAGAATAAATTAAAATGTTCTCAAATAAGACCATAACTTTTTAATAACCTGAAATGTGAAGTAAAGGGTTTTATAAGACTTAATTCTCTTACATAATTCATCAATAGGTAGCAATTCCTGTTTAACTATGGGAGCAAAAGTTTTAAAATAATTTATATGGGTTTATGGGGGGGTGTTAATTTTAAAGCAATACACCTGTTGAAATATTTAAATGCATTATAAATACTCTAAAAGCCCACTTTCATACTGTCCTTAACCAATAATTACACAAAACATTTCTTTTGACCAACTACAAAAAATAGAAATATAGGTGAGTCTAGCAAACAAAGATTTTGCATTTAAAGGCTAGAGCCACATAGTTAAACATTTCATGAACATAATCCAAAATGCTATGGGAATAGTATTAAATAAACTTGTCATTAACTTGATGGTAAGCTGGATATATACTTCCTCTAAGTGTTTGGTTCATATTAATGTTCACATATTATAACTGAATTAATTTCATCCTAATTGGGCAACTAAATCTTTCACAAAGTCATTTCTTGGGAATTTATAAGCACAGATTTCCTTCCTTGTGTGGTATTTTTAGGACACAAACACCCATTTTGAGTCTGTTGGACAAGCTGGCCCAGAACTCAAGATCTTGTCTCAGCTTCTCTAGTGTTGACAGTTGTAGCATGCATTATCTCACCAGCCTATTATTAGTATTTCTTTTAATGCACACACAGTAGTGTATTTTTAGCAATTACAAAGTCTAAACTATTAGATTCAAGGTGGGGTTTTTCTCCCCAGCCGACTTAAGCTTTTGAGATGACAGGTTTGGTTTTACTAAGTAGTTTTCTCTTGTTTTTTATCATGTTGATATGTAACCATGTTTTCCCTGTGTTTATTCAATAAATGAATATTGTCTTTTTTACTTTGGGAAAGAAAATAACATGCAAGTTCAGTTTAACAAGATTATCTTCTTTTACTTTATTTAGCCTTGGAGGGGGTACCTTTCTTGGTTTATGCAGTTTATTGACTGGCTGTGAAAGTTTTGAGGAGGCTCTTGAAATGGCATCCAAAGGTGACAGCACCCAAGCTGATAGACTGGTTCGTGATATTTATGGAGGAGATTATGAAAGATTTGGTCTGCCAGGTTGGGCTGTGGCATCTAGGTAAGTTATTCAAGTTGTCTATTTAGTTTTTGGGAAATAGTGTCATGGGGTTTAAGGGTGATTTCCTTTACTTTGTTTAGAGTCAAGTTTTAGACATTGAAGTAGTTTAAAAATAAAATACTCAAGCCAGGTGGTAGTGTTGCAGCACTTGGGAGACAGGAGGATCTCCATGTTTGAGGTCAACCTGATGTACAGAGTAAGTTCCAGGATAGTCAGTGCTACACAGAGAAACCCAGGCTTGAAAACAAGTAAATTCATTACAGAGTTTACCCTCTGTTCACCCTATAAAAAACTCCTTGTGCTGGTGATATTTTTCAGTGGAGGAGCATTTGCCCAGTGTGCCCAAGGCCAGGGTCAAAAAGCAAAAACAGGCCAGGCTGTGGTGCATGCCTTTAATCCCAGCACTTGGGAGGTAGAGGCAGGCGGATCTCTGCGAGTTCGAGGACAGCCTGGTCTACAAAGCGAGTGCCGGGACTGTTGCACTGAGAAACCCTTTCTCGAAAAACAACAAAAAATCCACAAAAACAAAAACAGGTGCTCACTTTGGCAGAACATATACTAAATTTGGAATGATACAGAGAAGATTAGCATGGCCCCTGGGCAAGGATGACAAGCAGATTCATGAAGCTTTTAAAAAAATCCAGGAAAACAGAAACCTTGTATTCTGAAACACCCATCTCCTGTTGATATTTGAAAATACAAATCATATTCTGTAATCCTGCTTATCTAAAAACTTGTGTCACTACGTAGCATGTTATACATACTCTAATAAAGTAGTCACACATTGGCCGGGCGGTGGTGGCGCACGCCTTTAATCCCAGCACTCGGGAGGCAGAGGCAGGCGGATCTCTGTGAGTTCGAGGCCGGGCTGGACCGATAGCCTCTGAAACAATACAGAGAAACCCTGTCTAGTAAAAATAGTCACACATTATAGAAATCTTTCCATGTTCATGTTGTCTTGTGTAGCTTACATCCAAAGGTAAAGCACAATGCTTTTTACAGTTTTGTTTAGCAGCCCCTCCAAATGGTGGTGTTTTCTTTTTTTTCTCCACCTAACCCACAGGTAAAAGAATATTTTCCTACTGGTGAACTAGTATTCAGTGAAGCAGCATTTTAGTGTGATTTTACTTTGTATTTCTTTTGCTAACAGTGAAGCTTAGAACTGTCTGTGGTGCTGTTAGTGATTGTTCATGATCTGGTTGGTTTTTTTTTTTTTGGGTCTGGTTTGGTTGGTTTGTTGCAGTTGAATTTATCAATCTTGTGACAGCTGGATATTGATTCATAGTAAGTCCTCCACATTCCAGATATATGAAGGAATTAACCTGTATTTTCTATTTCTGGTATTTTAATGTATTTTATAAATCAGTCTTTGCTATGATATAAACAATCATGGTTTGTAATTTTTCTTACAGTTTTATGTGATAGATCCAGTTTTTCAATTTTTTCACACATACCTAATATCTAGTCTTATTTTTTCCTCTGATTAGAGATGAATTCTCACGCACTAGTTTTTTTTGTTTTTTACTTGGATGACTCAGTGGGTAAGGATTACTGCTACCATGCTTGTCTACCTCAGATTGATCCCTAGAACCTACATAGTAAAAGGAGAGAACTAATTCCTACAAAGTATTTTCTGAATTCTGAATGTGTGCACACAGACAGGGAGAGAACAAATAATGTTTGAAAAATGATATCTTTATGATACATCTTTCTATAACAAAATTTAGCTGTTTAAGGCACTTTTGTGCCTTTCAGACATTTAAAAAGTCATCTATGTATTCATTTAAATTTTTCCTGAACAATTTAAAGTTTTGTTAGCATATATTATTTTACACATAATGGGTCTCAATTATGGCATTTTAATTTGTAAATGTAATTTTTATTTTTGCAAGACAGGGTTTTCTCTGTATTCCTGGCTGTCTTAGAACTCACTTTTAAAGGTGTACTCTACCACTGCCTGGCTAATATAATATGTTCACCCATATTACTCTCTCCTGTCTCCCTCCCACTCACATTGATCCTCTCCTAAGTAGCTAGTCAGTCCCCTTTTACTTTTGGGGTTTCTTTTCATGACCTAATGAGTCTAATGTTGCTTATTGGTATGTTGGCAACATAGCAATGGCTATGTAACTGAAAACAGTGTGTCATTCTCCTGCCCCATCACCTTTTAACTGCCTTTAGATCCTCAAGGAGGAGTGGAACTTCATGAATCTCTCCCTGTGTTCCTGTATGTTTATATTTGCATGTGATTTCCGTTAGATTCTGATTGGCTGTTGCTTGTCAGAGTATCCAGTGCCCTCTAGAAGTAGTGGACTTTGCCTCCTTAGCACATCTCTCTATTCTCAGAGACCCTTCACTCTTCACAACTGATGTCACTTGTGATTTCATGTTTTGTTGTTTTCATGTGACATTAACCTTGATTGCTTCTGTCTAGAATGTTCTTTCTTTTTTTCTCTAAAATTTCTTTTTACTGAGGAAACATTCTCAATTTTTTCTCCTTAACAACAAAAAACGCAATCCTTATTCTTTCTTGCTCCCTGTGATTTGGTTTGTCTGTTGTCTTGTTACACTTAGTGTCTCTGTAGCCCTCCTCTATGTGATTCTCATTGTCCGTAGGACACCAAGCAAGCACTTGGAAGGTAGTTAATGCATGCCACATGTCAAATGGCTGCATTTAGATATATTGGCTTTTAGTAAGATGGACAGTTCTACTTAATTTCATCTTTATTTTTACCTTTTCAAATGTGGCTAATAGATAATGAATTAATGTGGCACATATTTCTGTCGCACGGTGCTACCCTAGTGAGTATACTGCTTGAGGTACTTTCGGGTCTGTATCTCAATGCTTGGTGTGTCATAAATGCTGTGTTACTGAAAGAAGATTTGACATTAGAGTTGAAATCATCTTTAACAATATTTTTTGTCATTATGGCCAGCCTGGGCCACAGAGCAAGTACCAGGATGGGCTCCAAAGCTACACAGAGAAACCCTATCTTGAAAAACCAGCAAACAAAACAAACAAAAAAGTCACTGCACTTTTTTCTTGGTTTCCTAAAATAATCTTAATTTCCTTGTTGTATCTGGATTTAATGTATGGATATAATGGAAATCTTTGCTTCCTAGTAACAAGTCTGTTTCTTTTTTAAAAACTTTTAATTCTGCTTATTTCTTATGGATATATTTGTTTTGAGCTGATCCCTGTGTGTTCATGCTCTTTTGACCCTAATTGTATAGAGCTATTATAGATATGTAAGTTAATATGTGAATTATTAATTATTACCAGTAGATTTAACTTGTTTCTCTTGTTTTTTGTTTTTGTTTTTCAGTTTTGGGAATATGATTTATAAGGAGAAACGAGAAACTGTTAGTAAAGAGGATCTGGCAAGGGCTACTTTAGTTACTATTACCAATAACATTGGTTCTGTGGCCCGGATGTGTGCTGTTAACGAGGTAAGAAGACATCCAAGAACTTTCAATTTTACAAAAATCATCTTGACACAGTGGTGTGGTGTATGCTTTTAATCCCAGCGCTCAGGAGTTGGGGGCTCTATGAGTTTGAGGCTAATCTACATAGCTGTTTCCAAGCCATTGGGGTTATAGAGACCCTGTCTTTTTGTTTTGTTTTGTTGTGAAATAAAAAATAGTAGATTCTTGTGCATGTGATAGAACTCCTTAATTTCCAATGAGGTCTCCCAGACTGAGATCCATTTCTTCACATTCTCAAATGGATAAAATATCTTGTTTGTTTGTTTCTTCCTTTTTAATGACAAATACAGCATTCAGGAGGCAGAGCCAGGTAGATCTGTTTGAGGTCAAGGGCAGCCTGGTCTACAAAGAGAATTCCAGGCCAGCCAAGGCTACACAGTCAGCTTCTGCTTTAAAATAGTCAATAAAAAGAAGGAAAGTAATATGACAAATAGTGAAAAGCCCTTGGTGTTCATTCCCCTGCCCTGCAAAACAAAAAGAAACTAACTTGGAGGCCAGACATAGGACAAATAATTACTTATTCTCAAAATGTCTTCAGAAATGAATATACAGCCTAAGTGTAACTATAACACATTTTGAGATAGCTATTGAGAAAAGCATTGTGGATTCTTTGTTTATAATAATGGAGTGTTCAGTTAGTGGAAGACTTGGAAAGTTTCTTACTGCCCTCGGCTTCTTTACAGTGCTGCCTTGTTGCATATGGATCAAGCAGCATTGTACAGGGCTATGAAGGCATTGAGACTTGTTCTTCACATGTGGTCTGAGGTGATGTGTGTTGCTTGCCTTCAGAAAAATGGAGGGTTGGGGAGATAGCTCAGTGACTCTGTGCAGAGGACCTGGATTTGAGTCCCTAGCGCCCATCTAAGAAGCCTGGATATGGCTTTGGACCTACAAACCCCAGTAGGTATGGATGGGAGAAAGGAGGATCCCCAGGGCTTGCTTCAGTAGCAGATACTCTTAACCTCAGCCAGCTCTCCATCCTAAACTTTAATTTTATGTGTATGGATATTTTTCCTGCATATGTGTCTGTACTCCATTCACATGCAGTGCCTGTGGAGGACAGAAGAGAGCATTGAATTTTTTGGGACTAGTGTTACACATGGTTGTGAAAAGCCAACATGGTGCTAGGAACTGAGCCATGGTCCTGTGGAAGATCAGTTTGTGCACCTAACCACTGAGCATCTCTCCAGCTTCCAAACTATGTTTTAGTTGGTTTATGCTTCCTATTCCTCCATCTCCACATCTTTCCCTTTCTCAGCTTTTATGTTACCCACCCTTCATGGTCCCCTTCCCCAATCATTGCTATTGTCCAAATCTGTGGAGGGACCAGGGTGCATTGCAAGGTACATCGTTACATCATAACTGGATATTACTTTTTAGATCAATGTTAGGTTTGCAGTAAAACTGAAAAAGGAATGTATAGGCTGTCAACACTATGAGCACAGCCTCCCTGACTCAGCGTACTCTGAATCTTGGTACATTTGGTTGTAGTCCAAGAACATGTAGGACATGACATCAACATTAAAATTCAGAGTTCATATTTGACATTAGAGCTCATTCTTTAATTATCTAATTTGTGAATAATCAGAAATATAGAACTGTGTGCCAAAAATTAATAGGCACTAATGAATGACATTAACATTCTTACGTAAATATTTTAATGCTCTAAAAGTCACTTTCTTTTCTCTCAGAAAATAAACAGAGTTGTCTTCGTTGGAAACTTCCTACGTGTTAATACTCTCTCTATGAAACTTCTGGCATATGCTTTGGATTACTGGTCAAAAGGTCAATTGAAAGCATTGTTTCTAGAACATGAGGTATGAAAACAATTTTTTGTAGGCTAAACGGCATGTTTTGAATGAAAAATTTCTACATTTCTATATATCTTACATATGTAAAACTGTAAATATATATGCATATGTGGAGACCACAGGACAACTTCAGGTGTCATCTCTCTGGCATGGTGAGGCTATATTGATTAGACAGCAAACCCCAAAGATCTGCCTCCCCACATCTGGGCTCGTAGAGATACACCACGACACCTGGCTCTTTTATTTATATTGGTTTGGGAAATCAAACTCAATTCCTTGTATTTATGGAAGGAGCTATTTTCCCAGGCCCGGGCTATGTGTTCTAACAAAGAAAATTCTTTTTAATTCCCTGACCCCGAGAAGTAACTGTTGTTTTCCTACTTCAGCTTGGTGGTACACTCCTATGATCCCAATATTCAGGAAGCAGAGACAAGATGTTAGCCTAGGTTGAAGTCAGTCTGCTTTATATTAATTCCAGGCTAGCCAGTATTACATGTCAAGACCCTGTGTTCAAACAAACAAAAAACCAAACAACTCACCTCCAAGCCTTTTTTCCTATTTATAATATCCAGTTAAATTCCATTATGTACAATTATTCAGTCTCATATAATGAAATCAAATGTTTACATTATTTTGAATTAATAAAATTCAAAGTATTGCTACAATAAGTTTCCATATCTCATTGTCCGGAACCTCAGTATAAAATCAGAATGGTATATTCTCTGACACTTCTACAAAGCACACACTGAAAGTGTCAAAGCTCCAAGGAATTTTTGTTTATTGACTAAAGGGATGGTTTGCTGTATTAGTTGTGTAAATGTTAGTGTCTAAAAGCCACAGCTTAAAAGTTTTCAAAACAGGGCAGTGGTGGCACACACTTTTAAATCCAGCATTTGGGAGGCAGAGGCATGCAAATCTCTGAGTTTGAGGCTAGCCTGGTCTACAGACAGCTAGGACTGCAGAGAAACCCTGCCTTGAAAAAACCAAAATAGGTAGGTAGGTAGGTAAATAAGTACAAGAGTGTATAGAATGCAATCTAAAATTCTTTATTGGAGTCTGTAGTAATGACATCCTTTTGACCTCAAATTTTATTAATTTGTGTCTTTATTTTGTCATATTAACTAAAGTTTGTCAATCTTACTAACTTTTCCAAAGAACCATCTCTTTGGTTGATTTATCTTTTTTGTGGTGAATTGAGGCCATTTACTTACATTTAAGGCTATTGATTAACAGGGAGGGGGGATGTTGTTATTTTTGAAATGACAATGCTGTTTTTTCCTGAATCTAGTTTATCTTTTGTTTTGTTGAATGTACCCTTTCATGTATTCATGTGAAGAAGGCTGTAAACGTGTTAATTTAAAAGCTACATTGTCTTAAACTGTTTAAATCATGCAGGGATACTTTGGAGCTGTTGGTGCGCTTCTTGGACTGCCAAATTTCAGCTAAAACATCGGAGATCTTTACTAAGAAATGTCATCTAGGAGGAAGTGATCCAGAGACTACATTCATTTTTTTGTCACTGGGAACCAAAGGATAAAAGAGTAACGCTATTTGTGTCGATCTTAAATGTCAGAACGGTGAGCTTATGAGCTTTGCCACCTGGAAAGACCTCTGTAATGAGAAATACTCCTCATTGATTGTCCCCTTGTGTGTATATATAGCCAGCGTTCAATCCTAAATGCAATACAGCCTCTTGATTGTTGAATTTTTCTCAAGAAATGATTTTCTATTTATTTGATGTAGCCAACATTGTAGTACTGTATGCTCAAACACAAATCTTCAAGTCTCAGAAATGTTTGCTTATGCAAAATAATTAATACTAAACATTTGTTTTGAGTCTGTTTTATGTACGTTTGGTTACTAGTGAATAGGAAGTTTCATACTATGTATCGTAATTTATTGTACTGGCAATCAAAGATGATCATTTTCTGTGACTTTAGGAATGTTAAGGCAATATGAAGTATTAACTATGGTAGTAGTTTTATAAACATCCCCCTTTTAAAAAGCATGTCTATATGGCCTCTCCCCTTAAGTACACTTTTCTCTCAGTTGATGAGTTGAAATAACGTGTTTAAACATTAAGCTGAAGTTTTCTTTTGAAATTTTTGCACACATTTGGTGTCGTTTCATTTTCTTTATTTCATGCGTTAATCAGTATATGTGTTAAGATGTTTACTGTTTTAAAATTGGGGCATAATCACATGCTTTGGAATCTAATTAGGTCTTTGAAAAGTGTGAAGACTGTTCACATGGAATATGGTTAGAGTGGGTGACATTTTGTTCTCTTTCTACCATGTGTATCTCAGGCCCGAACACACTTTTCATTAGGTCTGAACTGTGAAAGCAGATTTCATCCTGCTATAAGCAGTAGCAATGGACAGAATCAGATATTATCTAAAAAGATATTTTGAAACTGTGGGGCATTTAGGCAGTATTGCTGAGTTACAAATGGATCAATATTCATGTTTTTTGGTTATAAAAGCATTGCAGATCCAAAATTTGTCTTTCCTTCTATCTTGTAATTCATTCTTGGTTTTGAATTCCTGATTTTACAATGTTAAATCTCTCAAATTTCACATATGCAGTAACATTTTGGAGACCAGTAGTTCCATAAAGTTGAATCTGTAAGGGAAATGGACCTGTATTAATTACCAATATTTCTGGAAATAACCTTCGAGAGGTTAGAGATTGTTTACAATTTAAAAAGTATTTCAGTGTGGTTTCTGAGACCCCAGTGTTTAGTACTGAGAAGTTTCCACCAGACTGTCAAGAGGTGCTTGATAAGACAGTTGTCTCTGTGTGTAGTTTTCACATCTTATGTGCAGGTATTTAAAATGCAGTTTTCTTTACCTAAAGATATGAGCATACAAATAGTATCTGGGGAGAGAAGCATATGAAGAGTATTTGCCCTTAGAACTTTGAAATCAGCCCACTCAGACATTTACGTTTACGATGTTGTCTTTGTCAGTGTTTGCATAGAAATGGCCAATTCCAGCCAAATGCAACCACTTCCTTTACAGTTTAAAGGTTTTGACTCAAGTGTTTTTGCAGATAAGAAAATAACAATGTTAGGAACTGCATATTTTCTACCTGTGGAAATTTTATACATCAGCAACTATAGGTTTAGGGCTGTCGTTAAGAAAAGATTGGTGTTCGTATTCACTTGATCACTATACTTAAGTTAATGTGACACATAACATTCTGTCAATTTGGAACTGAAATTATCTACTAAGATCCATGTAATGCCAGTCAACTAAATCATCCATTTTTACCTTTTTCCAAGTGTAATCTGTAATTATGAATAAGAACACAGAATCATGATTGATAAAGGCTGCCAAGCGTCTAATCTGCTTTACATTGCTCTTGAGAAATTACCTGTAAGCATGCTGTCATAAATAGGTTTGCCTCTAAATATCAGTCAACCTAATTTAAGGTCTGTGAGGTGGTTTTGTCCTCCCCTCCCCACCTTGGTTTTTCAAGACAGGGTTCACAGTGTAACTCCTGGCTGTCCTGGAACTCACTATTAATACCAGGCTGGCCTAGAACTCATATCCACCTGTCTCTGCCTTCTAAGTACTGAGATTTGTGCACCACCACCACCTGCCTAAGGTCTGTGTTTTGTTTTGTTTTGTTTTGTTGTTTTTTGTTTGTTTGTTTTTTTGTTTATACGAGACAGGGTTTCTCTGTATTGTTTTGGAGGCTGTCGGTCCAGCCCAGCCTCGAACTCACAGAGATCTGCCTGCCTCTGCCTCCCAAGTGCTGGGATTAAAGGCATGCGCCACCACCGCCCGGCCGGTCTGTGTTCTTAAACAGTGCCATTTAATAGAAAAAATATAAACCATATGTAATTTTATATTTTTAGTAAACACGTTAAAAATTAACAAATAGATGAAAGTCATTTTAGTACATGTGTTTTTTTTTTTTCTTTTTAGCTGATACATCTAATGTGTTATTTCAATGTGAAATCAGTGCAAGAATTTATTGGGAGATATATTTTTGCCCTCTGTTGTTTATTTTTATTTTTAATTATTTAGTCTTCAGTTGATGTACATTTTAAATAGTGCCCACCGTGGTTAGTGTTTTTCTAAAACTACTTCTGCTTTTGTTTTTGAGACAGAGTCTCAACTATGTAGCCCTAACTGGCCTGGAACTGGCTATGTAGACCAGGCAAACCTTGAACTCAAAGAAATCCACCTGCCTCTGCTTCCTGCATACCAAGATTAAAGGTGTGCTAGAATTACTTAATATTTAGTGTCCATGAAAACTTTAGAATGTGTGCTTTTAAAAGAATGTGATGGGGTATGTGGGACTTCTTTTTTTAAATATAAATAAGATCATTTATTTGGACCAGTTTATTTTACACAGACAAGCTGTTACTGACTATTGCAAAAACATTGTATGTTGACATCATGTCATCTCTTATAGTGTAAGGGATTTTTCTAATATCTGATACTGATAAAACTGCCTGTAATAATCTTAGTAGTTAGCAATCTCCAAACTAATGAATTTCCTTCATGGGAATAAAATTAATTCTAAGAACTTAGTTTCTCAAGTTTCTGAGTTTTGTGCAGTCAAATTTGAAAGATTACCAAGAAATACTTTTTAACTCATTGTTATCTTTTATATATACAGAGAATCTTTATAAAAATTCTGATAACTCTGAAATGCTAAGAGCATTATTAGCCATGGTTTTGGTGATAAAATGCACACACACAGATCTAAAGCACCACCATTCCCCCAAATGATGCCTTTTAACTAGTTGACTCCAAGCTTCTAGTACACAGGTCACACAGGTTAGCATGGCATTTCCTTTCTCAGCTACTCTAAGTAGGTGGAGAAGTAGTGGATCCCTCCATTGGATGAAGTCATTGCCAAGGCCAGTAGTGTGCATGATAATTGAAAGCCACCCTCTCAAGAGGTTCTCATTATTTGCAAAACCTGGACTCTTCAGAAACACTAAATTGATGTTGCCCATGAGAATGCATGTAATTGTTGTGTTTGCGGAACCCATTTATTTCTAAAAGATAATGCTGTTTGGAGGGGTTACATTCTTAGGTGGAAAGCTTGGCCTGGCCATAGTTTCTAAATGTCCCTTGTAAAACCACTTTGTTAGAAACAAAGTTCCTTCATATTTAGTTTATGTGTATCTTTTTTTCTTTTGTTGAGCACTTTATTTTTGTTAATGTGTTGAATTTGCAAATATAATTCAGAAATTCTAAGTTATGTAAAAAAATTGATAAAGCATAATGAAAATGAATGTCCATTACTTTGCATTCAACTTCAGTTTTGTGCTATATGTAAACAAAATACATTCTTTTTGAAAATACTCAGATTTTAAGGTGATTGCTTTGAAGTGTTGATGTTGTCTTTTCCCAGCTAAGCTCCTGTTCACTGAGTGTGGTTTGTTCTGATAGTGATGCAGATAGGCTAGCTTCATTTGAGTCATCAGATAATTTTCAGTTTGTTTTGGTTTTTGCTTTTTGAGACAGGGTCTCTCTGTAGTTCTGTCTGTTTGCTATGTAAACCAGGCTGACCTAAAATTCATAAGAGATCATCCTGTCTCTGCTCCCAAGTGCTGGTGAGAAAGGCATATGCCACCACTCCTAGCTTGCATTACACAATTAACAAAATTACTTTTTGTTTGCTGTTTTTAACAAAAATTGTCTTTCCAATGAGTCTCACAGTGTCAGTAATAACATGAACTCTTTTTTTTTTTTTTTGAAGATTGTGATAGCTGGTACAAAACAGCAGCATGAAAAGAGGTTGTCCCAGGTTTTCTGCTGTCTTATTTCTACTTTTAAAAGGTTAAAATGTTTTGGAAAGCACTCCCTATTGCTCGCGCTGTGCTGTCTTGTGTATTCAGTACATGGTGGAGTTCAGAATTGATAGTGTTTTATAGTGTGCTGGTCGTTGTCCCGGCTTCTTCATTTGTAAACTGGGAACTCAGTGGCTACCATGCATGGGAAATGACATAGTTGTCAGGAGCCTGAGAACAGCTGCCTCATTCCTGGCAGTGCTTAGGATGACTTACATGTTTTCAGATGCTGCTTATGTAGTTTAACAGTTCTGCCTTTTATTATTATGTATTAAGAAGTACTTACAAAACCAGAAAAATACTATTCCCCTATTAGTGCCTATGATAGCTATTGGAAAGTATGTGTATACATTCATCTGTAAAGTACCTTAAAATTTAGCTACTAACCTAAAAATTATGTAGAAATTACTAATCATTTGTAAAAAAGGAAACTAACTACCCCTCTAAATTCAGAGTTAAAGCCCCTCTGAAATTATTGCATTTGTCCAGCACACAATTCCCAGCCACATTTACAAAAGGAAAGTGGAATTGCCTGCAAGCAGATTGAGATGGGTTACAGTTCTACCTAATGAGGCAGGCAGAAGACCCAAAAACTGAGTTTGATGGGAGAGACCTGTGTCTGACAGCAATGTCCTTCTAAAAGTCAGTGTGAGCTGATGCTGGAATCTTGCTGCTGGCTCTTAGCACCTTGCTTCATTTACAGACTTTTTATTTTCTAAATAAAGGTTTTGGTTTTACATTGCATGCTGGGTGTCATTGGCCTTACCTACATGTAAATCACTGGTCTTCTGCAGTAGATGAGGTTCAGATACATGGTCACTCATACCCACTATGTTTGAGCTAAGTGAATTCCTTGCAGTTTAACTGAAGTTGAAAGGCATTCTTTCATTTCCTAGGAATTTTCTCTCCCATTTTGGGCATCTTTTTTTTTTCCCTGAGACAGGGTTTCTCTGTATTATTTTGAAGGCTATCCTGGAACTCACAGAGATCCGTCTGCCTCTGCCTCCCGAATGCTGGGATCAAAGGCATGCGCCACCAACGCCCAGCTTTTTGGGGCATCTTTTAAATCCTTATTTACACATGTCACTTCAGTGTAAGCTGCCTTACTTTGTTGGTTGCATTATTCTTGTTAGGTCCAAGCTTTGTTATGTTTAGATCCTTCTGATATTAAATCTTTTTGTAAAAATGTATGATGTGCTATAAACTTTATGCATAATAAGACTAAGTTATAGCCTATTGTAACCTATAAAACATTTCTTGTAAATTATCTAATTTATTTTTCCATTTATGTACAGTTTCTTAATGTAAATTTTTAAAATATTTGTTGTGGCCTGCTCTGTAAACATTCCCACACTTTTTCTCTTAGTGCTTACTGCATGATAGAATCTTGGGTCCTTGTTTGTACCATGTAGCCAGCCTTTAAGCAAACTTCAGGGTGTCTACCTTTTCTGTAGTTTCTAACTTTTTCTAATTTGTTAATATTCTGAATAAGTGTTAGAATCATGCTTTTTATACCCTCCTTTCCAAATAAATTCTCTTATTTACTACATGTGTCTCTTGCTTGTTTCATCTTATAGTGCCAAGCAGCTGCTTTCCCACTCTTGATTCAGCATAAGGTTTGATCTCAGGGTGGTTAACTGAGAGCAGACACTCCATGGAGCAAGGACATTATAAAGATTTGTTCACTCCTGTATCTCTAATTCCTGGTACTGAGAAAGTATTCAATAAATATGTTTAATGAACTGACTGCAAAGTGTTCTTATGTATCTAGTCTGCTTGAGTAAGACTTACACAGATAGAAAGACCTTTTCTGGAAATTAGATCATTTTTCTGTGTCGTATGTATACTTGACAGGATGGTTCTGAGATGTCAGGACATCTGTGATACCTTGGTGACTGACACAATTTGAGAAAGTTTATTCTAAGCCAAATCTTGTTTCTTTTTAAATATTTTGTTTTTATTTGTGTGTGTGTGTGCACGCACACGTGCATGCACGCATGTTTTGCCTGCATGTACATATGTGTACTGTGTGCATGCTTGGTAGAAACTGTCAAATTCCCTGGAGCTGGAGTTAGAGATGGGTGTGAGTACTATGACTTGAACCCCTGTCCTTTGCAAGAGCAGTAACTGCTCTTAACCACTGAACCATCTCTCCAGTCCGTCTTATGTTTAGTCAATGCCTGTTTGAGGAAAAAGTTCAAATTGATGCCAGTGTCCTGATTCCAGGTGTATAGTAACTACTGAACTATGCTGTAAAACAACCTTCCTGTTAAAATCCAATGAAGGAAGAAGGATGAGAAAGATAAGAGCCTAACTGGGTGAGGATGGTGAAGTGTGGAAATGTTGCATTTGAGAGTTAACTCTGTTCTCCACATACAAACTACAACCTGAAGTTGGAAGTAGCTGCTAAAGAGTTCAACAATACACTGAAGTATACTTGCTTTATTGAAAATCAGCATTACATGTGGGAAAGAAATGTGAGTTTTGATTCTGGGTGCTGTGTAAATTGTGGAAAAAAGCTGTTTATTGACATTTCTCAATTGAGGGCAATGTATATTAAATAACTACTGATGGTCTGGCATCTGCAATCTATTGACCAGGTCTACAGTTTGTAAGTTTCTGTGTTCTTTAGGTTTTGGTGGCTTATTATGCAGTGCCTTAGACTGGCTGGCAGTACTGACTTTGAGCTTTGTTATTGAGATAGGGGTCTTGCTCTGTAGCTCAGTCTGGCCTTTGAACCCTATGTAATCCAACCTCAATTTTTTCCATCTGTCAAACTGACATTTTAAAAGCTAATATGCATGAGCATGCTGCTGAATGTGGCTGGCCTGGACTAGTCTGGTGGAGGATAGACTTGGTAGAGGAAATCATCTGTGTTTAGCAGATAATTGTTATATACCTACAGCTCCACTTTGTGTACCGTGTGTGTGGGTCTGAGTAGGCCAGAAGAGGATGTTGGATGATGTGGGATGTCCTTTTGTTTGCTGTCATATATGTTTCTCTTACTGGCTTAATAAAACACTAATTGGCCAGGAGCCAGGCAGGAAGTATAGGTGGGGCTACCAGACTAGGAGAATTCTAGAAAAAGGAAGGAGAGAGATGCCATGTAGCTACCAGGAAGAAAGGACACCTGGGCATTCTCCAGTAAGCCAAGATTACGTGGAGATACTTAGATGAATAGAAATAGGTTAATAATTAATAAAGAGCCAGTAAGAAGCCTGAGCCATTGGCCAAGGAGTTTATAATTATTATAAGCCTCTGTATTTATTTGGTGCTAAAGGGGTGTGGGACCTGGCAAAACAAATCTCTGTCTTCAGTTGGATCCTCTGGGGCTGGAGTTAGGCCATTGTGGGCTATCATGTGGGTGTTAGGAATCAAACCAGGGACTTCTAAAAGAGCAGCCAGTATTCATAGCTGCTGAGCTATCCCTTCAGTCCCACAGTTTCTTCTCTGAGCCTTCCCCTATTTAGACTAATTTCAGAACTTCCAGGAGGCCACCAACTAAGTCATGAGGCAGTTAACCTAGTCCTGTGAAATATTTTCCAAGTGCAGGTTTCAGAAGCACTAATGGGAAAGCCATCTGTGCTTGGCAAATTAAGGTAGTTTGGCAGGTTATGTACACACATAACCTTACTTAAGGTAACTTGCTGTGATGAAACACGATGGCCAAAAGCAAGTTAGGAAGGAAAGTATATTTTTGCTTGAACTTCATGTTATTGTTTATCATGGAAGATTCTAGGTAGGAACATGGAGACAAGCCATGGAGGAGTGCTTTCTGGCTTGTACAACCTGTTTGTTTCAGCACTGACACCTAGCCTGAGGAAAGCACCAACCACAATGAGGGTGGCGGGGGAGGCTTCTCAATTACTAATAAAGAAAATGCCCCACAGGCCTGTATACCTACAGCCAACATCTAACCCCCCCAACATATACATAGGCACACTTTTTGTTTGGTTGGTTTTGTTTTGGGGGGGGGGCAGTTCTGTAGCCCTGACAGTTCTGTAACTTTGTAGACCTGGCTGACCTCGAACTCACAGGTCTGCCTACCCCTGCCTCCCAAGTGCTGGGATTAAAGGCATGCGCCACCACTGCCCAGCTCTTGATATGAGTTCTGGTCTATACTGCTGCTTCACTTCAAAAGTTTTCTCCCTACATTGCAGTCTGGGGTTTTACTTCATTCTCGAATAAGGTCAAGAACCCGGGATCTCCCAGTCTAGACCCCAAATCATTGCTTTTAAAATTCAAGTAGCAGGATGTGTGTGGCACTCTCCTTCCTTTAATCCTAGCACTGGGGAGGCAGAGGGAGAACTGGTCTAGAGTTCCAGGGCAGCCTGCTCTCATGGTGAGTTTCAGGACTACACAGAGAAACTCTGCCCTGAAAATTAAATTCTTGTAAATACTTCGTTCCTGAGACATAAGAAGTGCATCATGCTTACGAATATATGGAGGTATGCAAATTTTCTCACACACTTCTGAAGAGCTCAGGCTTGGAGAGGAAAGTATCAGTGTCATGGACTGTGGTTTCCTCCAGGCTTTTTCATGACAAACAAAGGAGATGTCGTGTTTGTGGTCCTCATAGTGATGCTAAGGGCCCAGTGCAGAGGCTTCCTTCTCGTTTGGATGCACAGCCCACCTTGTGTGACCCTTTGAGCACCAGCCCGAAACCTCACTGCTGCTTGGCACACACTGATGCCTGGGCTGGGTCCTCTGACTCTTGGTGGAGTGGCAGACTGAAACTTTGCAAGTTCTGTCTAGTCTAGTTTGCCCTGTAGAAACCATGCTAAAAGGTTTCCCTACACTCCAAGGCAACTCCTGACACTGAGTTCTCAGTATTCTGTCCTGGAACTTACTCTGTAGAGCAGGCTGGTCTTGAACTCAGAGATCTACCTTACTCTGCCTCCCAAGTGTTGGAATTAAAGGTGTACGCTACCACGAAGCCTTTAAAGCTCTGCTTCTGATCTGCCTTGTTGATTTCATCTGTTGACAGCAGGATGAAAAGATGAAGGGACCACGCACAGCACCAATCATGCCCCCAGTTCCTCAATGGACTTGGTCTCCTCAGCCAATTCTCACAGTGCAGTGAGAATGTCAGTTTAGCTTAATGTTCTGGCCCATTTCTAGCATTACACACTAAAATGTATTCCCCAAAATTTTAAAAAATTTTTTTATTAATTTATTTTTTACATTCTACCCCCAGATCTTAAGTTGAAGGCCTAGCTCCCAATGAGAAAGCCTCAAGAAAGTGATGAGGGTGGGTCTCAAATCCTGTAGGAAGAGGAAGAAATACCAAAAAATAAAAAAATAAAAAAACTCCCAAACTCCCTTGTTGTGAGAAACAGTAATGTGGCCCATCCTTAGTGGAGTAGAACCCTCTCAGGAAGCCAAATTTGACACATAGTGCACCTGGACTTGTACGCCTCCAGAACTGTAATAAAATAAGGACCCGTTGTTTAAGTCACCAAGTCTGTGTGTTATTTCAGACCAAAAGTTGTATTCATGACTTTCCTGTTGCTGTGATAAAAACACCATAACCAAAAGTGACTCCATGGAAGAGTTTATTTTTGCTAACAGTTCCAGAATACGAGTTCCGCCATTAGCCATGTGACTTAGTAGAGGCACACACAGATGAGGTAATAAAAGAGCGGTTTACCACACCGCTAACCACACCCACTTTAGGCATGACTAAAGACGTATATATGGACGGACATAGACGGTGAACTACGTCACTAGCCAGGCCCACTTTTGGGCATGGCTAGGGGTGTTATGGAGGAGGGTATAAAAGACTGAACAGCGGAAGTCTAGCTCTCTTTTTCCGGCTTTCGGCTTCCAGTTCGGCGGCAGAAAACTACTCGGCTCATCTGGGTTACTTGTTTGGTCTCTTGTGAGTAATTTCTACAATACATACCAATTTTTACTTTCAGTAAGTGTGCCGTTATCGTTGCAGCATCAGGACAGGGTGGGGTGGAGGGAGGGAGAGGCATGGCAACAGATAGCCACAGCAGGGAGCCGAGAAATCACATTAAAACCACAAACACAAAGCAGAGAGAGTGACCTAACCCTGTGGGGTGAGGCTATATGAACTGTCAAAGCCTGTCCCCCGGTGGTGAACTTCCTCCAACAAGATTGGACCATCTCCCCCAAACAGTGCCACCAGCTGGGGACCAAACATTCAAATAATATGGGAACACTTCTCACTCGAGCCACCACAAATCTCATCCTGTGATACCTCCCACTTCGACCCCCAAATCCAGAGGTCAGAAACAGCAGCCCATCCCAACACATCTCCCTTGGTGTTAAGGGGTGTTTGGGGGGGGTGCCTACATAAACTTTCTAGTTTCACTGTACCTAATTGTCTTAAAAATGACCCGTTTGGGGGCAGGTGAAGAGATGGCTCAGTGATTAGGTTTGTACTGCTCTTGCAAGGGATGTTAGTTCAATTCCCAGCATCCTTGGCAGGCATCTCCCAACCTCCTGTAACCCCAACACCGGAGGGATCCAGCTCCTCTGGCCTCTGTGAGCACCCGCACTCCTGTGCACACAGCTGTACACAGAAATGTAGACAGTTTCTTTTCCACCTGGTCCTGCAGCTGTTTAGACCTAAAGTAAATACACTGAGGCTTCTATTAATTATAAACTGGTCAATGGCTCAGGCTTCTTACTGACTAGCTCGCTCTACATTATTAACCCATAACTATTAATCTGTTTCTACATGGTCTTATCTTATTGGAGAATGCCTAGCGTCCTATCTTCCCAGTAGCTACATGGCATCTCTCTGGTGGCTCCTCTCAGACTCTTCTCCCCAGAATTCTCCTTGTCTGGTAGCCCCACCTATACTTCCTGCCTGGCTACTGGCCAATCTGTTTTATTCATCAACCAATAAGAGAAACATATGTATAAAAGGACATTCCCCCGTCACAGAAACAAGCATACACACAAATTTTAAAATCTTAAAAATTGGTGGGTTTGGAGATCATATAGCCTGGTGAAACTTCATAAGTTTCCCTCTAGCTCTTCTGTGTGGGTTATGATGACAGTGACCTGGGCTGTATCTGATGGACTCAGGGCCACTTTTGCAGAAAACATGAGTTCTTCACTTGGGCCGTAGATGTGTAATGGGGACTGGAACTGACTGAGGAGGGTTGCTACCTGTCTTCCTATTCTGTCTGTCCCCTTCGCTGCCTTAAGCTTTGTGTTAGTCTGCTTAGCTCTGCATGAGGGCATGTTGATCATTTGAGAAACCTTACCTTGGTATATACTTGCCTTGTATCTCTCCCTCGCTTCTCTCCCTTCTCTTTCTCCTCCCTCCTCGTTTTTCTCCCCACCCCCACCCCCACCAAAGCTAAATACACTCACAGCTACTAAGACTCAGCACCACACCACGACAAGAATAAAAAGAGGTGGCATCCAAACTCCTGGGTGGTCCCTGCCCATTCCCAGGGAGTAATGAATAGTTCCCCCTTCCCTGCCCATGTCTCCCCATTCCTTCCACTCTCTGTGTCTGGAGCTCTCCAGTCCTGGGATGGAAAAGTTCATTTGTGAACAGAGTCTTGTCTCATTCTTCAGCCACCGAAAAGGTCATTCTTTATGCCCTACCATTCATTTCTTTAATACTGGTTTTTCCATGTAATGAGCATCCAGGCCTGTGACACGAGGTATTTTGTCGCCATGGCTTGAGTAGACAAATACACCAAAGGACCCAAATGTGACCTTTTTGGAAAACTAAGCAGATGGTTGAATGCAGATGTGGCTTTGCGTAAATCTGGTACCCAGTGTTTCTTGTTACCTCTAGGATGCCTCAGAATCACCTCCCACTGGAGTTAGTCTCATCTTTTCCCTGCCTTCTCCAAAACCTGACTTCAGCCTCCCTGTGGTCCTCCGTCCTCACTCCTGCATGCCTCTCAGTTCTTACCATGCTTCCTTTGACCCACAATCTATCTAAATTTTGTTGGGATTGCTTTCTTTTCTTTTTAGAGAGGCTGTCCTGGAACTAGCTCTTGTAGACCAGGCTGGTCTCGAACTCACAGAGATCCACCTGCCTCTGCCTCCCCAGTGCTGGGATTAAAGGCGTGCACCACCACTGCTTGGCCAGTAGTCACTTTCTTTCCTTCCATCTTCCCCTATGTCCTGAGATTCCATTCCCAGCCTCCACACCTCACCCCAGCTACTCATTCATTGTGGTGGGATTGGAAAGTCAGTTCTTGTAAAGCAACAGGACCAACATAGACTTAGTGAAAATGACATTGATTTTGGAGTCAAGACTGCTGGGGTTTGATTTCTGGCTGTATCCTTTGGGGGGGGGAGGGAGATGTCATGAGTGAGACCAGCTCTATGACTGTCCCTGGGCTTTGGTGTAGGAGTGAGGCTGTGAGACTTTATCCTTTTGTTGTTCAAGGAGGTATGCATTGGAGCAGAGCAGACCAAGCCAGGTCTGTCCCTGAGCACATATTTAAGTGTCCTTTAAAAATTACACTTGAAACTTCCTTGTACATGTGTGTATCTGTGCATGCACATGTACCATGCAAAAATGTCAGAGGGCAATCTGGGAAAGCTGGTTCTTGACATGCCCCTCCGCTCCCCCGTGAGTTCTGGAGAATGAACTCATCATCAGGGAGGGCAGCAAGCCCATTGACCTGCTGAGCTATCTTGCCGACCCCACCCTGAGCACATCATTAAGAAGTCAAACAAACCCTCTCTCTACATGCTGCATTCCCAGATTATGTGTTGGTGACCTTGGCAATTGGCAGTGGGGCTTGGGGAGTGAATAGAAGCATGTAAGATCTGCTCAGGACTTAGGGAGGGGATACTAGGCTCAGGACATCCTCAACTCCGCCATTGCTGGTTCTGCTCTTTTTTTTTTTTTTTTGACAAATCTTGCCAGTCTTTCCGCTTCAGCCTCCCAGGGCTAAGATGGACTAGTTCTGAGAACCAGAATCCAATGTACTGAGCCCAGAATTCCCTTCTGAGAGGAATAGTCCCTGGAAGTGTCTTTGCTGGCTGCTCTGTAGACCCTTGGTGATGACACCTTGGGTATATCCAGACCCAGCACTCCATCTGCTTCCCTGCCTTCTCTTGCTACTGTGAAAACTTAGAAAGGGATAGCCCAGGGATATGCGGAGAGAACACACGAGGTCCCAGAGCCTGCTTTCTGTGTGCTGGTGGAAACGGGCAGAGCCAAGACAGCACCGGGGAGGCCAAAAGTGGCATCGAGATTCTCCCGCCTGTGGAAGTTTGGGAAACTGGCATTTGCCTTTGAAATCTCCATTGCTTCACATGGAACTTGACATGGTGACAAAGTCAAAAAGCTGGAGAGATTATAAAATGTTACAGTGACTGGAAAAAAAAAACCCTTATGGCTAAAATTCTGTGTTTGAAGTCAGGTGGTGGCGGCACACCTTTGATCACAGCACTGAGAGGCAGAGGCTGGCAAAACTTTGTCAGTTCAAGGCCAGCCTGGTCTAAGAGTGAGTTCCAGGACAGCCTCCAAACCCACAGAGAAACCCTGTCTGGAAAAACGAATTAAAAAATTATGTTTGAGTTGGGGGTTGTGGTACACTTGCATAGTTCCCTCTTACTCCGGGTGTAGAGGCAGGAGGATTGAAGTGCCAGCTCAGCCAGGACTGCAAGGGAAGATTATGTTTCAGAAAACAAAACACAGCCAGGCCCTTTAATCCCAGCACTCAGGAGGCAGAGGCAGGTGGAGAGTTCAAAGCCAGCCTGGTCTATGGAGTGAGTCTGGCTTTGAGTCAGACAGCTTTGAATAGCTGAGCATCCAGCTCCCTTCCCTGAAACTAGCCTTGGTCATGTGACCTGACCGATAGGAACAGACATTTCCCCAGGGACTATTTCAAAGATCATCTGCTGCCCTCAGGCTCTCTCTTTCCTGCCCCTGTGATTAGAAGATGCATGTGTGGAAATGGAACGCCAGGAGACAAGGCCTGGCGTCATTAGATAGACACCTTGAAGGGGCCCTGTACCATATGAATTAGTTCACCAAGATTGGAGTGAATTTGTGCAGCTGCTGGCCTCACAGTAGGACGCTGGCAACTGTTTATTTCATTTAATAGAACAACAACACAGTAGGACAGGCACAAAGACACAGCACAGTCTCTTGGCAATGCAGGGCACCTTCCCTGGCTTCTGCTGCTGCTGCTACTTGTTGCTGCTTTTGGGAGGGGGCCGGTAAACCCCGACGACCACAGCGTGGTCCCTCTCATAGGGCTCCAGAGTTAGCTGCTCCTGTGGCTTCAAGTTCTCCTGTTGCAGCTTCTTCACCTCGGAAGCAAACACAGCCTCCGCGGACGCTGTGGAGTCGATGCAGTTAGCTTTGATGGAAATGAGAAAGTGGCCTCCGTTGCGCAGGAAAGTGTGGGCATTCAGCGCCAAGATGCGGGACTGGTCCGGCTGGGCCACGTCAGCGAAGATCACGTCCACCATTCCGATGAGCATGCGGTACTTGAGAGGGTGCCGGGCATCTTCCAGTACCGGGATGATGTTGGTGCGTTTCTTGGCCACGTTGACCAGATCGCGCCCGGCGCGGTGGGAAAATTCAACCGCATAAACCAGGCCATCGGGGCCAATGATGTCGGAGACGTGAGAGACGGTGGTTCCCGAGGCGGCGCCCAGATACAACACTTTGGACTTGGGCTTGATGTGAATCTGGTCCACACCACCCAGGATGGCGGCGGCCAATTTGGAGCGGAAGGGGTTCCACGTGCGGTACTCCTGCTTCTCGCCGTTCTCCATCACCGTGACGCGTTTCTCTCCGTACACTGAGATACCCGGCACCATGTTCAGTGTGACCAGCGCATCCTCCGCGCCACGGTAGATGAACACGCCCTCGTGCCGATGCGGTTCTACGGACACCGTGATGGCCTTCCTGCGGCGGCTCTTGTTCCTGGCTTGGCCCCCGCGCCGCTGCCCGCTGCCACCGCGGTCCCTGTTGTCGCCGCCGCCACCGCCGCCGCGCCCCCGGCCCCGGCCCCGGCCGCGCGTGCGTGCCCCGAAGCCTCCTTTGCCCCCAGAGCCCGCGTCACCTCCCTTGCCGCCTCCCTTGCCACCACCCCAGCCCCAGCCACCGCGGCCGCCCGCGGGTGTCATAGTCCCGTAGTCAGGGATCACCGGGGACCCTGGTCGGTTGCTGCAGAGAGGGAGGGGTGCAAGTTGGTGGCGGCGCGGCTGCCCTCAGGATTAGCCGCAGCTAGATGCAGGGGTCTGCGGTAAGCGCATCCCGGGATCCACGCTTTGACGCGGTGACTTGCGTGATTGCATCACAGCCGTTTTGTCGCCCCTGTAGTCCCGGAAGCCCCCCTGTTCCACCTGCGCGCAGACGCAGCTTGCTCACTTGTAACCCTTTGCCTTCTCTCTCCTCCAGTGCTGACTGCCTTCCCGGGGACTTCTTGCCCCGGATCCGTCCATCGGCCTGCATCCCTGTGGCAAGAGAATGGAAGCGCGCATCTGCTGAGTTCTTGTGTCCCTTGCTTGGCCCTAGGGAACTTATCTGGTTCTGAGGATTTGTTTGAATTGGGAAAGGTGTCTTGAACAGTTTGAACTTTGTCATCGCATCTGTAAAATAGAGCCCTCCTGTGTAGTTTCTCATCCACATACCAGTGTGGGGTAGTCTCAGCTTGTTTCAAATTTTATATTTCTCTTGATCAGTCTTTCTAACTGGGATGTGGTTTACGTTCAACAAAATGAATACGTTCTTGGTCTCTTTAAAATAAAAGCATTGCTCTTGAACGTCTGGCTTCCGCGATGGCATGAATTTGCGAAATGGTAATATATTTTGACAAGGCATTTAAACAGCATACTTATATTCTGACATAATTATTTCTCTTTGAACAATATCCCTAGACACGATTCTTGCAAGACACAATGGCCATTGGGCACTTAGAATGAAAGTGGTGATGATGACTTTTGTGATCACTGTGAAGGAAGTGAGGAATGGACCAACCAAGAGATATGTAAAAAAACAGAGTTCATAGGAATTGCTGACACCCTGGCTATGGGAAATCGAAGGAGAGAATTCCCTGGTTATTAACTATCGTTGTGCTGTGTGTCTGACCTGGGGCCTTTTGAATACTAAAGAAGAGCTTTCCCTGAGCCACACCTCCAACCTGAGAAAAATTCCTATCCTGAGACTGCCGAAACATCACTCTTTCCTTGCTGGCTAAGTGCTTGCAAGCCTAAGCTTCCATCGTTCCCTGCTTAGTTTTGCTCTATCAACTGTGCTAAATTTCTTATGCAAGAAAGGGAGTGCTGTGTGAATGGGGACATGCAGGCCTACAACCTAAATCCTATAATATGTCAGCGTGAAAGGAATATTATGTTTACCCCGAATTTTTGTCTTTGCTTAAAAAACCCACTGTTGCCGGGAGATGGTGGCTCACGCCTTTAATCCCAGCACTCGGGAGGCAGAGGCAGGTGGATCTCTGTGAGTTCGATATCAGCCTGGTCTACAAGAGCTAGATCCAGGACAGCCTCCAAAGCCACAGAGAAACTCTACCTCGGGAAAAACAAACAAACAAATAAAAACCCACTCTTTGCATCAAACCTTGAGGAGAGAGGAACCAACAGGCAGCACCAAGGACAGAAACAGACGCTGTGGCACAGGCCTTGGCGTTCAGTCAGCACCAGGGACAGCGACCGCAAAGCAAGTTCCCTATGACCCCTCTTGGAGGTTCCCTTAAACTGTACTGCCATGTGAGTGATGTAAGCAACCGTCTGAGGCCCCTACTAGTGGAATTAAATGTCAGGCCCAGAGATGTGGGGTGTACCTGAGGATCAATCAGAACACGAGCCAGGAAGAGGATGTTGAATCTCCAGATGTGTGCACGGTTAAAACTTGTTCTTATCTTCTCCTCTCCCCCTCTCACATCCGTAGACAGCAAGGGCAGGGCTGGTACACCCTGAGGATTATCAGGGCTTCTTGATGGGGGCTACAAGTCTGCATTAGGATGAGGGAGAGGGAGAAATGCACAATTTCTGAGATGTAGCTGGTTCATGGAAAACACTCTCATTACAAATTGAAGAGTGTTCTCCAAAATGAGCTACATTTGCTGTGTTGGTTGTATTTCCTCCCATCAGACCTTGTAATAATAAATTTTTGTGTCTACTTGACTTGGCCATAGAGTGCCAAGATACTCCAGTAATACTAGTCAACTATTACTCTGGGCATTTCTAGGCAGTTTTTGGATGAGAGTAACATTAAAATTAGTTAAGTAAAACAGTTGTCCTGCATTGTGTGGGTGAGTTTCATTTAATCAGTTGAAGGCCTGAATAAAATAAAAGGATGACTCTTCCACAAGGAAGAGAGAATTATGCTACCCAGTAGCCTTTGGCCTGGCACATGAGTTCTTCTTATCCAACAGCATTTGAGAAGGATGTTCATTTTCAAGATTTAGGAATTGCCAGAACCCATAATTGCATGAAAAATATTCATGCATCTGTGCATGTTCATGTATGTGAATGCATCTCTCTCTCTCTCTCAATCTGTGTGTGTGTGTGTGTGTGTGTGAGAGAGAGAGAGAGAGAGAGAGAGAGAGAGAGAGAGAGAGAGAGAGAGAGAGAAATTTATAGACCCTGGGGGGAACACTTGAGTGACATGGTCCAGATAGAGATGATGCCAAGAAATATCCACAGAGCTAGGAGTAAGAAAGCAGATCAGATAGGAAGGACATATTAACAAGCAAATAGATTAGACACTGGGTGACTGAGGGGCAACTGGTCCTCTTAGGAATAATGTGGGGAAGAAAAGATGTACCACTGGCTGTGGGGGTGGGAGGTTAATCCACCGTTTGCCCTTCCCTATCATTGGGAATGAGTTGGGGCATTATTTGCCACCCTTCAGATTTCTCTCATTTGTGCTTCAGCAAGTTCCACAGTGATGCAGTCACCCTGAGGCATGTGAGATGAGGGGCTGCCCTCCCTCTTGCCCCTACCACCTCCAGCTGGTGAGGGAGCTTGTCGCACCTGCTGAGCAGCCTGCATCCCAGAATGTAGCGAGGTGGTCGGGATAGATGACACAGAAACCGGTCGGTTGCGTTAAGAAAACTTTATGCTCCCCAAGTCGGCTTAGAACTCTTCAAGAAAAAAACGCTTCCCTTTTTAAAGACTTCTGCCATCCATACACGCACAATTCTCTAACCCAGCTCTCACACACCTCTCACAGCTCTCTCACTTCTCACCCTCCTGGCTGGTGGTGAAATCTCTGGCACTAGAATGGGGAGAAACAGCAGGGAGCAGGAAGAAGCATCTAGCCGTAGGGGGGGATCAAAGTCATGGTGTTTCAGTGAGCGAGCCCTTATCGGAGCCCTATCAAGAGCTTTATGGCACTGAATTGTTTTCAGTAAACATGTTTTCAGTAAACATTGCCTACTCCCAGGCCGAAGGGGAAGTGGGCCTCTGCTCAAGGTTTGGTGTCCCCACAAGAGCTGGCCCCTTTACTAGGTGCAACACTTGGGAAAGCAGCAGCACAGCAGAGCTGACCCTGTTGACAAGGGCACATGTGAACCAACCCTGAGAATATGAGCATGGACCTAGCCCTCCTCTGCAATATGGAGGCATGGCTGGGAAGAGAAACCCTGCCCCTGACCCCTCAACACTTAAGGCAGGTAGATAAGCAGTCCCTGCCCACCATGGGCTGCAACACTCTGGAGAGCAGGCCCTGCACCTTGCCTGAGCAACACAATAGAGTCAACCCTGTTGGTGGAGGTGTGGGTGAGCCAGCCCCAATATTGTGAGAAAGGGAGCGTTGTCCCCATTACTCGTCTGTCTTGTGGCAGCATGGGTGGAGGAGAAATGCCTGCACCACCCCCCAACCCCTGTCCATCAAAACCTGAGGCATGTACAAGAGCTGGCCCTGGGATCATAAGAGCTGGAGGGCTGTCCCCGCTTCACACCAGCTCAGCACTGGGAACAGTGGCCCCTGCGCATCACCTGGGCAACATGGTAGAGGTGGCCCTGATGGTGTAGGTCAGGGAGAACTGACTCTGAGGATGTGAAAGCTGGAGAACTGGCCCCACCCCTTGCTCCTTACTGCAAGGGTGAATTAGCCAGGGCAATACTGGAGAACTCATCCTGGTGGTGAGGACGGGGGATGGGGAGAACTGTCCAGCTGACCAACCCCACAGCTGCCCAGGCCCCAAACCAGACTTATCAATTGGCCCACCCCAACATCTACCCCTCTATGATCTGCTGGAGTACGTGAAGGGACCTGACCCACAGACCCAAAGCTGCAGACCACAACACACAGCAACAACAGGACATGCAAGAGAAGTTCAAGTGAGAGCCCAGCACCAAGACTGTAGCAGAAACCAGAGGCCTCAAACCAGACCAATGATGCTTTGCAATAAACACTTGCAAGTAAAGATATGTGGACAAAGGGGTTTGCTGCGTGACTCGCTGTGTCACACTGCAGCTTCCATGATGAGATTTTTTTCCTTTTTTCTCTTTGTTTTAATGGGGGCACAGTGCAGGGGCAGGGGTCAGATGCAAAGGACGAATGGGACCAAGATATGAGAGATACATTGAATAAATAAAAATGAAGTTTGCAAAAATATCCTTTGTCCCCTCATGGGAGGGCATTGGTGGCATCAGTCTTGTGCAGGCAATCACCGCTACAGTGAGGGCAACAGCCATGTCACATCCAGAAGTTAGCATCCCACAATACGCCATCCCGCCGCTGGCTCTCACATTCTTTCTGCCCTCCCTTTCACAATGTTTCCTTGGCCTTTGAGGGGGAGGGTGTAGATGTCCCATTTAGGGCTCAGCATTCAACGGCCACTCATTCTCAACACTAGGACCAGTTATGAGTCTTTGCAGTGTCACTCATTGCATAAAGAAGCTTGTTGAGCAGAACTGACAGGAATAGTAATAAATGGCAACAAATGGAAATATTTGGAAGGCAGTTTTTAGGGCATGTTATGTCCATTGAGAAAACAATAGTGGAGCAAACCTTCCTTTTTAAATAGACAAAGATGGAGAAATGCTGTGGAACAGTCCTCTTGTAGGTACACTGTGACTATGTATGACTCTCGTTGGCTAATAAAAGCTGATTGGCCAATAGCCAGGCAAAAAGTATTGGTGGGGTGATCCAACTGAGGATACAGGGAGAAAGGAGGGCAGAGTGAGAGTTGAGAGGAAACACAGTGAAGCAAAATGAACATGCCATGCTAATAAAGGTATCTCTATGTGGCAGGGTGTAAATAAGGAATATGGGTTATTTTAAAATGTAGGAGCTAGTTAGTAATAAGCCTGAGCTATTGGTCAAACATATATAAGTCTCTGGATGGTAATTTGGAAGCAGCTCCAACTACAAGTAGCTTCCTGTTGTCTCTCCAGGCATGGGATTTTGATTAGATTGATAGTATCATATGTGAATTCCCTTCTGTGGAACAAGCATTAAATGGAATCAGAAAGCAATAGGTTACCGCATATCAGACTTGACATTATTGCACCAGTGGACACATTTTGACTCATTGATAGTATTGTATATAGGCCTTTCTGCACTGATTGAAATGATCATGTGCTTTCTATCCTTAGCTCTATTTGTGTAGTAGTGAAATACACCTAGTGATTTTTGTATATTCAACCAACCTTGCATTTCTAGAATGAAATGAACTTGGTTGTGATGTATGTTCATCCTAATATATTCTTGAATTCATTTTTTTCTGAGATAGGGTTTCTCTCTGTAACCTTGGCTGTCTTGGAACTTGCTCTGTAGACCAGGCTGGCCTCAGAGATCTGCCTGCCCAACTAGAAAGTGCTGAGATTAAAGGCTTGTACCACCACCACCTGGCCAATTTGTAAGATTTATTGGAAAATTTTACAACTGTTTTCATCTGGGTAATTGGTCTGTAATTGCACTGGGTAGTTTTAGATCAACCCAAATCAAACTAGCATCATTTCAAGGGAGAAAACTTCAACTGGGAAATTGTTTCTGTAAGATCAGGCCGTAGGCAAGCCTATGGGGCATTTTCTTAATTAGTGTTGAATTGGGAGGGCACAGCCCACTGTGGGTGGTGCCAACCCTGACTCATGGTCCTAGGTTGTATAAGAAGATAGGCTGAGCAGGTCTCGAGGAGCAAGCCAGTAAGCAGCACTTGGCCTCTGCATCAGTTCTTGCATTCAGGTTCCTGCCATGTTTGAGTTCCGGTCCTGACGTCTTTTGATGATGAACTGTGATGTGGAAGTGTAAGTAAAACAAACCCTTTCCTCCCCAAGTTTCTTTTGGTTGTGGTGTTTCATCACAGAAAAAAAAAAAAAGAAGAAGAAGAAAAACGTCCTAACTAGGACAGAAATTGGTACCAGGCACATGGTGTCTTGCTGTGGCTGACCAGGCATGTGTTTTGGGAAGGACTGTGGAAGGACTTTGTAACTTTGGGCTAGAAAAGCCCCTGAGTGTTCAAAGCTTGGTGAGCTGTTATGAGGACACGAGGTGTGATAATGCCGAGAGCTAGGGCCACTTGATATCTTGAATTAAGAAGCTGTGTTTCTGGTCAGCCGAGGCTGAAAAATCAGCTGTGACTAAGAAGAGACCAGTTTGTTGAGGTGAGATCTTCTGGAAAGTGTTTTCTCAAGGTCGGGACACAGAGGTTGTGTTCCAGAGGCAGCCAAGGTTGTGCCTTGGGCTGGCAGCTGAACTTGGCACTGTGAGAGTCAGCCCGATGCTGCTGGTTTTGAATACATAAAGATCATGTAGAGCAGCTGTGCGCTGTGTGCTAGGGCTGGAGTTCCTAAAGAGAGCCCAGGAGAAGCCACAGGTGAAAGTGTAATCTAATTATGGTAGAAGGCCCCAGCATTTTGGAGATGCCAATACCATGCGCATGAACACCAAGATGGAGCTGCCCTGAGCCTTGAACACAAGCTATGGAGGTGTTGCAGAGGGAGGATCCAGAAACGTGGTCCAAGCTCTCTGGAGGAGCCTGGGAAAGTGAGCAAATGCCAGACATTTTTTGTTTTTGTTTTTTGAGACAGGTTGCTCTGTTCTGGAATTCACTCTGTAGACCAGGTTTGTCTGGAACTCATAGAGACACACCTGCCTCTGCCTCCAGAGTGCTGGGATCAAAGGCGTGTGCCACCACGTTCAACTGTGAATGCCAGACTTTTGACACTGACTTCTTTATACTGTTAAGAGTTGCTTTTGCTTTGTTCAGATTGTGACTATGCCCTGGTTCTTCCCTCTTGGAACAAGAACGTTTTTAACTTGTTTTTTTATTTTTACAGGAG